CCCTCATTTCACCGGATAATACCGCGGTAAGGTCTTTCACTGTACCAAGCATGCATCCGCTGATATTGATCCAAGACCCGATATGACGATCCACCCAGTCTTCTCCTCCGCGACCACCTTGTTCTGACTGAACCCAGTGAAAGAAGTAGTAAACGACCTGGCTGCCCATACTGTGAGAGGCTAGGACCACCTTCTCGCCATCATATTCCACGGCAGACTCAATGTGTGACTTGAGACGGGAAAAGTACCGGTCTCTCACCTCAAGATTCTGGTAGGACAACCGCCAATCGTAGGCAGCTGTGAAAGAGTTTGTCGGGTCATAACCAATGGTGGCCAAATTTTCGAAGATTTTATTCCAGATCCAGTATCCCGTAATGAAGAAATCTGTGGCATCGAAGCCCTGCGCGGCCCTTAATTTCACGCCCGGCGGATCGAGGCCAGTTTTCTTATCAAGCATGATATGCTTCTTCCACAACTCCTTGTCGAGCACGAGGGCCCTCATCATTGTCCAACTGCCCCACAAGCGTTTCCTGAAGTATTGACGTGATGTGTTGGCAGTCCCCCAGGATTCCAAGCCAGTTGAAATGACTCCTGGAACCATGATGACGGGATGGTGAGCGTGTAGGCCCTCGGATCGTGCCTTGAGGCCGACCGAAAAAGAGTCGTACGCATCCGTGACTTCTCGCTCGCCTTGCACCAAGTCGCGCATATCCTTAATTAGGCCAGCCGGAAGGACATCGAAGAAGCTGTCCATGCTCAGCTCGCCGATTTCAGGGAAGTCTATAAGATCATTGGTTTTGGCAAAAAAGCCTGCAGCTAGCAAGCCGCATATTCCGCCCAGTAAGAATATAAAGGTATTCCGCCTCTTCCGCGTCGCCCTAGGTGCCTTTTCCACCACATGGATATGCGCCGTCGGCTCGATGGCTGGACTATCTTCGCGGGTTGGCGAACCGTCGTGAACTGGTTGTGTCTCGCGTGGTGCGCGGCGACGCAGCGTGGTGGCCATGTGGCAGAATGCGGCAAGTTTTTATCCGCTCTTCTTGTGGTGTCGGGTGATTTTTTTTCTGGCCGTTGAATTCAAGTTCCCAGACTCCGTCTGGTGCTGTGAGAGCCAAGTTGACTGGGCGCGAAAGCAAGAGAGCAGCAATGTCTGGTCGCGAGCAGGCTACCCGGGGAGTAGTGAGGAAATTGCGCTAATAACAGTTCTGCGTCGTACCGGCAGCTGTCGATGGTTTCTCTGTAATTAGGCAATTTTCATGTATTGAGGAATCCTTCAAGTGGTGTTGAGCAGAAGAGTAAACAGGGACGAGAGCGAGCTGTACATACGAGAGGGATCGGCACTGACTATTATGTGCATGTGTAGCATTTTGTTTTGGTTTAGCCCGGCAGACTAGAGGAGGACAAGGGCCGTGACATGGACCCCAGACGACCAGAACTTGGTGTCAACCGTTGACATAGGTGACATCAATTGATGAGACCACGCCCAGAAAAATAAATTAGGTAAAGATCACGGTACATGCAGATAAAAATAGGGAGAATACTGCATTATGACCAGGGCATGCAGCTATTTATGCCCTCCCCATCCTTTACTCAGAACTTTCTTCTTGTTCTCCGCGAACACAAAGGCAGTTCAGTCTGGTCATTTGTACTGGTTCTGTTGGCTACTAGAGTACAAAGCACTCCATGTCTGTCCGCACGTTGCCAGCTCAGGCCGTTGCGTCAATACTTTACGTGTCAACGGTACAAACCCCGCTGACTGGGGGATTCACATGTGATCGCCAACATCCAAAGCCCCGCCATTTGATGCCACGGCGGTGCCACCAGACCACCAGTCGACGTTTGGACACGCCGCTCAAGAGCCGCACCGGCCCGCTCGATCCATGCAATCCATCTATGCTCAAGAGCTGCCTGTTGCCTAACCCGTCATTAACTGGAGTCCGTCTTCGTCGCGCCGTCCAGACACTTGACCTCCTTGTCAGAGTCTGCTTGTCAGCCTTACCAGTCCGGGCCCTGGCAGCTGTTGGACGCCCAACGCCCAATACAAGAAGAGCCCATCCTGACTGGCTTTTGGGTTGTTGGCAACTGGTGTGATTCAGTTGGAGGCACAGTCGGAGGCAACATCGGAGACTGTTCGCAGCTCGTCCTGACAGCCAGCCCAACAACCTGCCCTACATAGCGTTAACCGGCCGGGCATACTCCCGTCACTTGTCGTGGAGCACTATATATACACCACCTGAGGACAACCAGGTCTGTTTCAATCCGTACTCCAGGTCTTGGCGGCAGAAGCTCGTTTCATCATGGCCCTCCCACGAAAAGAGGAATCGTCCTCGCAGTTGCGCTTCATCCAGTATCAGCACAGTCTTGAGTCTGAATATTTGCCAGCCATACGATCACTCATCTCTAAAGACTTGAGCGAGCCTTACAGCATCTATGTCTACAGATATTTTCTTTGTCAATGGGCCCATCTTTGCTTCATGGTCAGTAGTACGGAGCCTCGGCGCACAAGTCCAACATGTCCGTTGTCTGGCAACACGCTCAGTCCGCTAATTTCAGTTGACTCCAGGCCATAAATCCATCCGACTCATCCCTTGTCGGTGTGATCATTTGTAAACTAGAAGTTCACTCGTCTCACTCTCCACCAACTCGGCGCGGGTATATCGCTATGCTGGCAGTCGAGTCGTCCTTTCGCGGCCACGGCATCGCAACCGCCCTCGTGCAACAAGCTATCGACGCCATGACCAAACGCAATGCCGATGAGATTGTTCTGGAGACTGAAGAATCAAATACTCCGGCCATGCGACTCTACGAACGGCTGGGGTTCTTGCGGTCAAAAAAGTTGCACCGTTACTATCTGAATGGCAATAGCGCCTATCGACTCGTTCTTCCGCTGAGGAGCGTTGACTTCGACATCGCTCAGGACTATCTCATCGGAGAAGTGTCTTGACATGTACTTCTGGGGATTCAAATGACATTTGGGGCTCTCGAGCATACATGAAAGAAGCCAGCGCATGATTGCATCATTATACTTGTTGACTTTGAAGAAGCAAAGGCGGCTTTAGCATTAAATGGAGTATATGGCGTTTACGGCGTTAACTCAGGATACAATGGAAATAAAATTATCATTCTAACAGCCCAGCGAACAAATTGTCTGTCACATTCAAAGTCTAGATGTTGAGAAACCTAGTTCCACCTTCATCTTTTACCCACCCTTGTGAGTGCTGCAAATTTATATTCCCAAGGTACTTGGAATTTTTGGTTGAGCCAGGCAACCCGAAAATCCATTACTGAAATGATTTCGAACTGTAGATCGAAGCAGCGAGGCCCCAGGGGTTTCCATGCGAAATACCAATGTAGGTAAAGATATCTGACTCGTCGTCAGCATGATGCGGCGGTGGCATCGTCTTGCAGTTACCCCGCGATGTTGACTCACCGGGCTTGTAGTACATGGTTGGTAGCCCTGGCCCAACAAGCTTGAGCCTCTTCAGCTGTTGCAAGACACGCCCGACGTCGGATTTGTCTTGGAAGTCGGCCGTATATATGCAGATGACCCTGTCTTTGCGAAAATCATCGAATTGCGACCTAGGGTTTACCTTGGCTGCTATACCGAGCTCGTTTTGTGCTGTAGCTTTAGCAACCAAGCCCCAAATTTCGTTGACCTCAGAAGGCGAGCAAAAGAGCATCCACTGGGAGAATGGACCGAATACAATAGTGTTAGCACAGGGCAGAGAAATTTGGATGAGCCACGCCACGTTCTCCCTCTTGACAATGGCGTACATACCTTGCCGCTTCGAACCTTGCCCGCTTGGGCTAGACGGAGAATATCGACCACAGCCTGGTTCTGTTCTTGTAATAACTCTTGCTTCAAAAATGTGGCCGATCTGCCTGACAGCTCCAACTTTTGCCTGAAATCTGCAAGAAGCTCCAATCTCTCCATTCCGCCTTCAACCACGAGGCCGACGTGGCTGTCCTTCTCCGTCGGAGCTTCGCACTCGTTCCCTTTCATGTATCCGCCATTCTCCTCGTGCTTCTCCTTTCGCGAAACGTATGGGTTGCATATGAAAATCCAGGGCAAATCCTCACTCCCATCAGTTGTTTCAGGAGGTAGCCTGGACAAGAAATCATCCAGTGTTTCAGAGAGCTGCCACGCGTAGCTAATTCCAGCGTAAGGGTTGTGTAGATTTGTAGATTTGGCCGCGACCGCTGGGCTTCTGCAAGGAGAGCCGAATCCCCAGACGCTGTGTTGCTCGGCCCAGGCATGGGCGTCGAATCTGTCAACGCGGGTTTGCAGCTGCCGCCTCTCGTCTGGGCTCCCTAGAAATCCATTTATTAACTAGTTGCCAATGCGGTATTGTTTCGGAAAGTTTGTACCATAGAATTCTGAGTCGTCCGAATCCATTCCCGCGGGGTGCCAGGTTATGTGGCAGCAGATGGCGTTCACAGACAGAAGGGTTTGTACAATTGCCGCAGTAGTTTGAGGCTTCACGCCAGCGCTTACCTACCACCGAACGTTGCCAAGCTGAGGGGAATTTAAAAAAAAAAAAAAATACAAGGAGTTGTGTATGAACTATTCGCTATACTTCGTAGCTTCACTTTAGAACCGGACTGAGTGTTTGGACGGGGCTCGGCACCTGTGGTTACATTTCGAACTGGTCGCGACATCTGGGGAGTTTAACTAAACAACTACTGGCGTTGGTACTCCGTAGTTTTGGAGACCCCAACGGCTGATCTTGGTCATTTTGCAAGGCGGCTTGCGTTGCAGGGGGGCTCTCTCTCTTTCTCTTGGCTAATGCATGTGCGGTCCGATCCATGGTGTGAGCATCGAGAGGAGCCACAAACGACGAGGTTCATTGTATGTCTGCCCCACCAGCCGTGTCCGTCGAACTGCCGAGATGATTTTGACTTGCTCAACCCTCAAAGGGTCTGTCAACTTATCAGACATTGAATTTGACGGTAAAGGGCGCAACACTTGTGTGAACGGCTACTACGAAAAGCCGCCAGCCATGGATAACTTAATGGCTATATCATCTACCAAGAGTATGCGGCTTGAATTGCCACCGAGCTGTTTGCAATTTTGCCCAGTCGACCAGTCTTGTTTCGTGGTTGGGACCTATAATTTACAGAGCCAAGATCCAACAGAGCAGCAACAAGATTTGCCGGAGGAAAGCACATTGAAGAGACCCCAGAGTCGAAATGGTAGCTTGATGCTTTTCCACCTGGCCGGGAGCGATTTGTGAGTCTTCAATGCCGACTTTTGCCTAATACTAGTGCATACTCTATCTACTCTTAACTGAGATGAGGCCCTAACCACGCAACCAGGGTCAAGATTCAAACGGAGCCACAACCTTCCGCAGTCTTAGATATTCGCTTTCACCCAACCCGTAGAACGCCCCAGAGCGTCTTTGCCGTTGTGTCGAGCACGGGCACGCTGGTTATTTATCGTCTCAAAACAGGTGATGGTCCAGCGCTGGAGCATGTGGCAACGAGTCGATGTGCCGATCTGGGAGAGGATGTTTTGTTTTTGCAGTGCAACTGGCATCCTTCCGTTGAAAACACGATCGCGGTGACTACTTCGACCGGTCTTGCGCGGTTGCTGCATCTTGACAACTCCTGGTCCATCCAGGGCTGGACGGACTTGGACATTCAAAACACCTTGGAGGCCTGGTCAGTTTGCCTCTCCAGTCCAGACAATAGTAGAGGTGAAATTGGCCAGCCGACAACTGTCTATTGTGGGGGCGACGACTCAATACTGAGATACACATCGTGCTCTCTGGTCCCCCACGACAATGATGCAAAAATGGAGACTATTTCCGCCTCGATAGGCATCAAGGGGGCACACAATGCCGGCGTGACTGCGATTCTACCCCTCTCAACCTGGACATCAGCTGGTTGGCGGGTTGTTGTTACGGGGAGCTATGATGATATGCTTCGGGTGATTGCTATACATGATCCGCATGAAAGCCATGGGACCAAGATGGTGCAGCTATTGACAGAAATTGACCTTGGCGGTGGTGTATGGCGGTTGGATTTGATCGACTTGAAGTCAGACTCTTGTGGAAAGGGCTCTGTCCACATCCTCCTTCTGGCGTCCTGCATGCATGCCGGGGCCAGAATAGTGGAAATCGTGACTGATGATGGCCAATGTTGGCGGAGCGCAGTACTTGCAAAGTTTGAAGAGCATCAGAGCATGAACTACGCGTCCGACTGTGTATATAACCCGGACGAGCGTAGCTTGACGTGCCTCTCGACAAGTTTCTATGATAGGCTACTGTGTCTATGGACGTACAACCTATAAACGGGGCTGCTGCAGTGCCATGAGAGTATTACAAGGCGCAAAGTTTCGATGTTGCAATTCGTGGAATGCCGAGGTGTCATGGACGGCTCAGGCCCAAACCGCCATAGTTCAAGACGGTAGTTTATTTGGTTGAACAATTTTGTCTTGGCATTTCTAGTTTGCCAAGATATGTAGGCGACTACCGCCTTTGTAGGGGCTAAAATCCTGTTGATCTGGAAGGCACCAATGTTTCCGGCTGGATTTGCTCTCCAATCCATGCGCACCGTACTATGTATTCACGGTTGGGCAACTGAGCTTCCAGGTCGATGCTCAAAAGCTGACGGTGGACATCTAGAGTCAATCTGGGCACCTATTCAATGTTAGGTATAAGTACTTATAGTTGACCCGCTGTCTGCATGGTCCAGTCCCCACTCAACATCAACGCGCCCTGCACTTGGGCCCTGTCAGCGGTGAAGCGCTGCCAACTAACTTCTCAAGGTCAGAAACTGGCTGGGTCGAACTAGACCAGCTGTGAACACCGCCCGCCGACACCGACACCAACAAACCTTGAACCTTCGGCTTTCATCTGTTTAGTTCGCCGCCTGCATTCATGCTTTCGGGCCACCGGCGTCAATCTTCCTTATTGAAAGGACCACTGTGCTTGCAAACGTTGCTCTACTTAGCTTTCTTGCGTTCTGTTTGACGTTTCCCCTCCCTCGTCACGCGCAGCCGGTATCGCCTTTGCCCTGCTTACTTGACGTGCTTTTGCATCCTCCCGCCGATTTCGATATCGTGCACAAACGAATTTCCCACCACGGACGTCAGGCGCTACGAACAACAGAGAGAAAAACAGTATAATCTCGATTTTGCGTTGCCGGTTTCTCGATACGACGATTACGGACACAATCCTCGTCGAACTTGCGCTCCTCTCCCGGTTTAGACTCGACCAAAACTTGAAGAACGCCTCGTCAGTATAAGCAAGCCTGCCTCGAGGTCGAATCCCGTCGACGTCTAAGCGCTCGCCATTGCCTGCAAAAATTATGTCTGCTAGCGGCGGCACTTTGCCAGCTGGCGGCAACCCGAGCAATGGCGAGGACACTGAGATATTGAGACGAATTCATCAAGCTCTGGATGTCGTGCACAGCGCTTCTTCAGGCAATGATGCCCGCCGGCAAGCTCAATCGTTTCTCGAAGAAGTCAAAGACATACCAGAAGCGCCTTTTCAAGGATATCGATTAGCTGCCGATAAGACTCAGCCACCAGTCGTTCGCCACTACGCCCTCTCGCTTCTCGAACATGCCATACGTTACCGATGGTCTACCTACAATCAGGAGCAAGCTACGGCCTTGCGACATTGGATATTGGAGTTGAGCCAGTCTGTCTCTAAACAAGATGCGTCCTACCTCAGGAAGAAGACAGCACAGCTGTGGGTCGAAATCGCAAAGCGGTGCTGGGGGACCGAATGGATGGACATGGATTCTTTACTTGTTCAACTTTGGCAGATCCAGGACTCGGCGGTTCATAAGGAACTCGTACTGTTTATTCTGGAGACCTTGTCCGATGAGGTTTTCACTGGGGATGACTCAGTGGTGACTATGAGAGAAGGTGTTCTTAGTAAGGCATGCGTCGAGATATTCACACCAACGTCAGTTCTGGTTGAGGCTTTCCCTAATCGTCAGCCCGGCCCGAATGTGCGCCATGGCCCCGAAGGATGGCTTGAGCGTATTTCTCAATTCCTCAACTATTGCGTCAGTTCCGAAGCCAAGGATACCGCTGATGCCAAGAGCTGTGCAGTCAAGGCTCTCTCCGTATTTGTGTCCCTTATGCCGTGGGCTATCCCCAAGGCCATAGCGGCTGCACAATGCGTGAACGTCATGACTGCCGGTTTGGCATCCTCACACATTGATGTTCAAAAGGTAGAACCCAACTTCTCCCATGATTACTAGCTATGGTCACTAAACTCTTCGTTCAGGCCTCCTTGGAAGCGCTTAATGCTCTATACTATCGGTCCAACTTCACGGATGATGAATTTCGCGACCTCGTCGCACCAATGTACAGTCCCAGCTCAGTTGATCTTTGCAAAGGTCTGTATCGCTGGGCTACTGTGGACCCCGAGGATATCGATGAAGATAAATATCAGATTCTTAAGAAGCTGTCAGAGGTATGAATCGAATTGCGAGAAAACACCATAACTATGTGTGTTATTTCTTCCGGCACCCACTAACACGACTCTAAAGATGCTATCCTATCTCGGGGACTACTTTGAACGCAAGTTTGCAAAGGTACCTCAAGAAGCCGCCAGCTCTGAATTTTTGGGGCTCTTGATTCAAGTAACGCAGAGTCCGAGTTTGATGGTCTCGATACCAATACTGGTAACATGGACTAGAATTCTTGGCCATAGAAATCTTGGTCCCAGCGACCTAGTGTCTAAAACCGTCGGTCCCCTACTGGACGTTTGCACTTCCAGATTGGTGCGCTATGAGAATCTCCCTGAGAACTCTACCGATCCTACATACCTTTTCCTACTAGATGACACGGATACTATCCCTGAGCGGCACGCGTTCTTAGGAAACTATCGTCGGTATAGCTCCCAGATTATTGAGCAAATTGTTCAATTGAAACTTGTCGACGCAGTGTCCTACATCTTAGGCCGTACTGAGGATATCCTGCAGAAGCTCTACGATGGGCAGCCTCCTTTTAGTAGTAAGGGCCAGTGTCAAAACCACTGAAGTGGTCTTGGAAATTACATTACTAACTGTATCAGAGCAAACATATACCAAGCATTCAACGCCCGCCTTGAAAGTCGATTCTCATTTTACTGTCATTGAGGCTACGTTGAAAGGTTATGTAAAATGGAGGAGATACCATGGGCGAGACCACGTAGGTTTCTCTACGAGATGGAATCCCATCCTCACCGCGACCAAAAGAAAATTGAGCTAATATATGCATGTTCAGGAGCAGCAAGTGGCTGAAATGGAGTCCAACTTAGAAGTGTGGTGTAATAAGTTGCTTGCAATGAGCTTTGAGGTGAGATCAGTCGAGAGGGCCAAATAAATACATCTGAACTTTGCCGAGATGTTGACTCTCTTATTTGAAAAAGGACCCAATAATTCGCAAGCGGGCGTTACAACTTCTTGTTTTCTTCTCAACTACTGCGCTCAACAAAGACGCCGGATTCATGTTGAAGGTTCTCGAGCATATTCTCCTTACGTGGCCCGCACTCGAACCTGAATATCGTGCATATAATGATGCCATCAAGGATTTGCAAAGTGAGAGTATGATTGAGCTGCAGCGTCTTGCGGCTGAGATGCCTGATCACCTTTTGGTAAGACAACTTCATATCGCAATTGAAGCTAAATCTCGTGGCTAATTGGCGAAAAAGGGTGTTTATGACCAGATTGAAAGCCGAGTGAATGATATGATGACTTCAGGGGCACTGGATGAAAAGCGATCCCTTGCGTACAGAAGTTTTCTCTTCCTCATCATGTAAGGACTCATATTCAGCACAAGTTGACTCGGTATGTAGTATTAGCTGACAGTCCATCTTAGCCATCGAGCCAGTGGAATCGACACACAGACGAAAATTCAGAAGCTGGCTGAATTCGTTGAGCCTGTCAAAGCCCAGTGGCAGAGTGAACCGATTCGAACATCGCTCAAATCCTATGCAGACTTCTGCCAGTACCTCGGTCTTGACAAGGCCCAGAAATATCTGGCGAGCAGGCGCGCACATGAACTTAAGGATTGGGGTTCTTGCGAATTGGATTCAGAGGGTTTATTGCTTCAAAACGAGCTTGAAGAGCGGTTGAAGGTACGGTGCATGTTAGGTCAAGTACGCTCGGATGTTCATGCTAACCTTGATGCTCAAGACTCTTCCTTTACGGCCTACAAAATCATTCCTTGCCTTTTCCGTAGAACGGTTGGATAAGTCCTCTCCAGCTTTTCAGGCGTCATACGCTCTTTGGCAACAAGGTTTCTCCAACATTCTTGCCGATTTACTTGAATATTTAAAGTATGCCAATGTCAAACAGGGTTGATTGTCTGGGCGGCTATCGGATATACTGACAAATATATAGATTTGCACATGCCACACACAATCCTGATAGTTGGGCAGAGTTGCCTACAGAAATGCGAAGCATGGTAGAGCGAGTTCTCAGCGACAGATTTTGGCAAGCCGGAATATCTGAAGGCAGCAAAGATGACTTTTACGCGAGGGTCATGGACAAGAAAAATACAATCGAAGGCCTGGCGTCGACTATCCGGGGCTCGGTACGTTTTGTCAGAGAAACGGCGTACGCTATCATCTATTGTATGAGCAGACTTGACCTGCAGTTTTACGGCTTCAGCGGCCTCTCTGGCCCTCTATCAGAAGCCTTGTTTTCGGATTCCATATGGCTATCTACACACCAACAAAGCAACTTGCTGAACTTGGTGCGGTATCTAGTTGACGACTGCCCGGTGGACTACCGGGAGCAATTTCTTCCCCAGCTCTTAGCAGCTTGCTTCAGACAGATGGATGCCAAGGTCAACGGCGAGTGGGAGAGAATGGAAAAGCAGCAAACTTGCGTGGTAGATGGCGAGGCAGGACTCAAGGAAGAAATGAAGGCCGAGAGCATTCTCCGGCAGGTTACGTATACAGCCGTCATGATGGTGGCTGATTTCCTGGATCCCACAAAATCAAGTATGTGGAGGGAATTGATGCTGTGTACATTTGCCGTGAAAAATGGTCGCTAACATGAAGTGTTAGATTCACACACTCTGAAGTCCCGAAGCCGAAAGGAAGGACTCGAGGACGAGCCTTCAAGGCCTTATCCGTCACTCCGGAAATTTTGTCTCATGCGACAGGAAATTGTTGAGCCGTTGCTGGTATTTTGCACTCACGGCATCCGAATGAGGGACACGCGATGCTGTGGAATGGTTCTCCGCCTGTTCATCTCTCTGGTCCCCGAGTTCCAGTTAGTTCAGGGTCAAGAACAATACGGGTCAACGGGGAATATTCACGACGGCAAGGCCGGCTCAAGCCA